CAAAGCAGTTCCTCTAATCTACGACCCTTAACAAAGAAAATAATAAAAAGGTATCCTTAAAAATTTAATAAAAAAATAAAAAACAATAAGTAAATTTTATAGAGTAAACCACACCTATTAGCATCGGTATCAAATAACTCAGATGGAGGCTCACCATCGATTATCCAGTCTGCCAAATACTTTCCCATTCCACCACCACTTGAAATACCGTCGAAATATCCAGCCTATCAGATGAATTGATTTATTCCCGAAGGAATGGAACACTTTAAATTCTCTTGAAGAAGTAAAAAAATTTCACCTGAAGCCAATAATTTTGTTTATGATTAATAGGTCCAACAAGCGGATAACCATCGGCCATCATAGTAACAACAGATGCCCGTGCATCAACATTAACACCACGTAAGCATGGAATAAGATCACATGCACGCTCATAAGCTCGTTCCAAGCGTTTGAAATCTGGTTCAATAACCACTTCTGAACAGATTTAATATCATTTCTATTAAAAAAAAGTAATATAAGAAAGTCTACAGCCAAAAACTTCCGAACTGAAAATGCAGTAAGGATTTCTCTCCAAATTTCATTTAGCTCTTCTTCCTTATCTTTTTTTTAGAGTTAGGAATGTCACAAATGATTAAGAAAATCAATCAGCATAAGAAAAAACTAAATTTCTAGTTTCCTTTTTTGATATTGCAAAGAAAAAGAAATCTGTACTCGATTATTGCACTGCTATTAAAGAAGCTTTAAAAAACTTTGCATGCAAATGTTATTTGATTCAAATTTTACTACAAAATTAAATACTAATCTCACACTATTCTCATAGAAAAAATTTTAAAAAATTAGAAAAAATTTTAAAAGAAAGGATCAACAAAACTTCAGTAAGGACTAAAAAAAGATTAAACTCAATTAAACAAAACAACCTTAATATCAGCAGGCAAGGCTTCAAAAAATTAACTGTTGCGTACCTTCCGGCATACGTTCTATCCAATCTTCCCGAATAACAACATCTGAAGGTTTCTGTTCGAAGCCACCGAATAACATACTATCGCCATCTCTGTGAATATAAAACGTACTTTCATGATCTATAATGGCCGGCAAATCCAACAGTGGCTCTACCTAAATTTTAAAGACAACGCTGAATTGATTTTCTGATTAAAAATATAATGAAAAGTAACTTGATATCAATATAAATTTAGTTACCAATTTTTGCTGTAACTCGTTTTGAAAAATTCTTATTCCAATACCCATTAAAAAAGAATCCTTCCGCTATCTGAAAAGATTCTGATTTACCTCCGGTATAGGACCAATGCGTGCATATTGATGCTCGACTATTGCAAGGGGTATATCTAAATTTGTCAAACGTCCAAATTCTCGAGCCCAAAGACCTGAAATTGAAATGATAAAACTCATAATAAAAATGCTATACAGCAATTGAGATTCGCATATGTTTTGTTGCCATTCTGCAAGACATCAATTTATACAAAAGTTCAATGTGGATGCACCATAAAAGATGTCTATTGAAGAAGGCAAAATTTCACATTAGTATTGAAAGACACAATAGCTTTCTATATCTATATCACTTTCAATTTACTCCCTCCCCTTTAAAAAATTTCATCAATTCGTGACACTGTCAAAAATTGGCAATGTTAGCAGTGTCATGGATTGATGAAATGAGGGGAGATTGAGGAAATTACCAACGAAAAGATGGAATTCAGTGGAAAGGCAGGCATCAATAATGTAAGACCTGTAAAAGTTTGCTAAGAAATGCCCATCCTGAAATTAGCTTTTAACCAAGTCTATCGCCAAATTCTCCGACCTGCAGCATTTATAATATTTTGAGTTCGTATTTGGCTGCCATCATCAAATTTGACGACCCAGTCAGTTTTTCCTTCCTCCACTGCTTTAATTTTTGGGCACTGTTCAACAAGTACAGCACCACGTTTTTCAGCAGCTTTAGCCAGAGCAAGCGTGAGATTTTTAACATTTATATAACCGTCGCCAGAAGTATATAAAGCTCCTAATACAGTTTTCGTATCCAGAATAGGTGCCAAATTTTCCACTTTAGCAGCATCAATCAGTGTTGTTTTTACTACATCACCTTGCTGCAAACACGAATGGAAATTAGAAAAGTAGTCAAAGACATTCATATTAGCTCAAACTCTGAAAACTATGAATCAAATACTAGTTTAATATTACTGTCGAAAATTTCGCACATTTAATCGTACATTATGGAGGAAAATCATGACAGGACGGAATAGGATTTAGGAGAATCTTCTGAAAATCATTCATTAACTATGAGACACTTTTCAGAAAAAATAAGAAGTACTTGAAAGTAATCTCGAGCTGTATACCGTCGGAATTCATCCAGACGTGACTCATTGGTTGCTAATCTTAATGTTCCCGGACGAAAAAATTCAAGCTTCTGCAAAAGAAAATTAATCAAAGAACCATGTCGAATAACACATATAAAAACTTTTGCATTCGAAAAAAAATCCCAAAATTAAACTTCCAAATTTCATAAGTATTAAATTTTGAAAAACATACCTCTGCTACTTCCTCTTCTAGACGTGCGTATAAATCAACAGACCATGCGAGGAATGGCTTATAGCGATGAATTGGATGCACTGAGCTAACCAAGCCTGGCTATAAATTGGAAGTAGAACTAAAATAATGGCATAATAAACGTCAATAATATCTTAAAATACCTAAATCATTTAAATAAATCAATAACTACTCTTTCCAAAATTAATTTCATACCAGAAATAGTGTCAAGAATTTCGGTGTTATAATTAAAATTCAATTAATAAACAAACAAGTTTGAATTAAAGATTGTCTGCATAACCAGAATTAGAGCAGGATATCATAATGTCTCATGAAAACGTCATTCTTAAATTTTGAAAAGTAATCAAAGTCTGAAAATCAAACCGCATGCCGAGCTATTCCATCTTCTAATTTTCCTTTTTCTAATAGAACAACATCACGAATACCGCGAAGCGTCAAATGATAGGCTAACGATGTCCCAGCAACACCACTACCAACAATTAAAGCAAATGCATCTTTGGGTACTTCACTATGATTCCTGCATAAATTTTCTATTGTAAATTTATTGCTACAAATTCATATTCTGTTAGTTCAAGTTTCTTAATGGGATGAAATGGAACCATTTTTCCAATACATTATTTAGCTACTCTGTCATTAAAAATAAATTCCTATTTGGTGAAGATATTTCTCAAATTATTGACAGCCTTTATAACTGCATGAATTAAATAAAAATTCGCCCGCTAGCATCATTAATTTTCATTCAGATGTTGCGATCGTATGCCCTATAAATGCTGACATCATTGCAGTGAAATGTGGTACATTAATGATTCATCCCCCCCTATTGCTTTTAACAGTTTGCTGTGAGATATTAAGTATACTTCATGTTTTGCTTCTGCTGCAGGAATAATGGCCACAATATTTTGCTCAAGGCAATGAACAGGTAATCGGTGTCAAGCTATCGAGAAACCGAAAGGAACATCAGTAAGAAGTTCTATTTCTCCAATTAAACAATTAGAAGTAACAGTATTTCCCAAAACTTCAAATAAAAATCAAAAATAGTTAATTCCAAAATTCACAATTCTATAATAACGAAATTCATAAATTCTGTTACCGAGCCTGTTCGACTAATTGACGCTTTCCGAAAGCGGCTTTCAACAATGCCAGCATCTTACATTCACCACTAAAAGGATGAGAAATACTTGAAATTCATAACAGTTATATCTATCACAATGCCATTTGCAGCAATATGTGAAGTCGGAAACTGCGTGCGAGTATAATGGGTTAAGAAATTTCATACATGAGGACAGGATTGTCCAAAATTATCCGGAAATCGAGGCAACTGCTTCCATATAGTGTCAGTGTTCCTCATAATTGAAAAAATCGAATCTCTTTTTTATCCCTTTTTTTTTTTTAATTATTCTAAAAGCTAATTTGAGGAATGATTTCGCTTATATTAAAAAATATCTGCTTTATGCTCGTAAACTTAAATGTTTACAAAAAATGGGAAGAAAAGTAATGAAGAGAAAGCTGTTTGCAAAACCATTTAATTACGCGCTAGCACCAATTCTTACGAAATTTTAATAAAATTATACAAGTTCATGTGAATTTACGACCAGTTTGCAGTTCTGGTCAGTTTTCAGTTTACCGGATAGAATTAACAGACTGCCAATGTTCAGAAGGAATGAGAAAGTTGCAGGATGGAACGAAAATTTAATTCTGAGCAGTAGTAGCGAGAGAAATAACAGGATGTGATAGAAGATACAGAAATCGAAAATATTTACGGCTACTTAAATGCTACTCTAAACTCAAAAAATTGATTCCTAATTATTAACACATGAAATTCAACAAATTGCCTCTGAAATGTGCACATTCAAATATATCCAGAATCATGGAAGGCCTCACAAAAACTAAAATTTAAAATAACATTCATACAGTAAAACAAACATTTGTAGAATTCGACGATCAAATATGAAATCATGGATAAAATACGTAAAGTTTGTTATTTATGAAAGCAAAAAAAAGGAAAAAATGTGTTATAGAAATAAACGTCGGCGCTGGAGCAATAATATCCAGCAACATAATTTAAATGGCAATCACACAAACAATTGAACACTGCAAAACCGTTTATGTTCTTAAGATTTATCTGAGTTTTTAAAAAATTCAGATCAGAGTTTAAAATGTTAAAGTTTCAAAGGTACAACTATGTGAAAAATGATGCAAAAAAAAGAATGAACAGATGGGTTAGATGGAGAGAAAATGACGCAATTGCTTGAAGAGTTTTTCGGGAATAGAATTATGCTTATCTAATTTGAAATTAATCATGTACCTCTTTAACAAATTTCTGACATTAATTTAAAAGAGCACGATTTTTAAAATGAAACCAGAAACTATTTAATAAGTACTAATAATCAGGAAAACAAGTAATACATAATACCATAAATCCTTATGCCGAAAAGTTTCATTCATTCAAAAATTGTACTTAAGTGCAAAATTTGTGTACTAGTCTGTGACGGAAATCGATACGGGATCATCGCAACGTACAAAATAATTGCTTTGGCCGACGGCCGAAGTTCATCGCTTGCTGCTGGATTTCGATTCAATTCTTCCGCTAGCAATTTCATCACTGCTACACACAGGTCTGGTAGCACTAACCGCACCTGAAGAGAAAAAGGTGTTCGACAAGATCCTCTGATTCTTAATTTATTAATATTACAGTTATTCAAAATTCTAACAGTCTTAAATCATAAATGGATCGATTTTAGCATGAAACAATCACGCGAGCCTTTTAGTAAAATTTTTGTATACACGAGTTTGTATAAAATACTTTGTATACACGAGCCTTTGTATTTGTATACTAAAAGCTCATGTATACTCGTGCACTTTGTCTTGTTCAATGAAGGAATTAACTTTTAGCAATATAAAGACATCTATTTCACATCTATTAAATAGTATTCCTGAAAACCAAAGGCAGAAAAGAAACGAAAATGAACAAGGAAATATGCAAAAATATTTGTATGCTTGTCAAATTTTCGTGTACTAACTCAAGTCATTCCTTAAATTGTTGATGCTTTCTATTTCACGCGGAATTCTGGCAATTTGCTAGAATCCTGTGTGAAATACAAAACGTTACAATGCATAAATACAGTAAAAAAATTAACTTCAAATTTTTTAACTGCTCATTAGAAACAGAAACTAACTTGATCGGAGACCATGTAAAAAGTGGATACAAATGCCTGCACTTCATCTGGATTCATCGGTATGCATTTCAATTTCTTAATTATTTCTATACAAGCTTCAAATCTGGAAATCAAAATTTTGAAGAAATATATGTAATGATGAGTTGTTAGGTTGATGAATATAATAATGTTTTTTCCAGTTTTCCAAAGTGGTTCGAAATGTCAATTATAAACAGATTTACTCCCATTTCTGCCTTAAGTCTCCTCATTTCCAATTCACAACAAGATAAGCGTATTCTGATAAGGTCTATTTCATCTCGGACTACACAAGGTATACAACATGTGTCCTATCTGAAGAGTTTTTTTTATGGATATTGACAAAATTATAAAAAGCTAGATATACATCTATGTCCAATATAAAACACCTTAATCCATCTGAAGACAACACCGTTTTTCAAGAGATAGTAAGACGATACATTTGCAGTGCTCGTCCTTTCTGCCATAGCTAGCCTAAGTTTGAATCTTACCTTATTTCCTTATACATTGAGATGAGATAATGAGTAACATCAATAAAGTGGTGGTATATTAAGCAAAATGATTCAAAATCATTGACTCACTTCTTGTCATGATAAAATTGGAAAAAAGTTGATATGTCGAGTAAGAGATATAACGTTGGAAGTGCATCCAGTGTGTTCCTAGGAGCTATCTTCGTTGAGTGCTTACAAATACTTGCAAGCCACAGTGCGAGCTTACGAGCTTCACCGGCATCTTTATGCTGCGTGATTTCTTTAGCTAAACCTTCGCAAGCTAGTCGTATTGCGTCGTCAACATGCTGTACACAAGATAAAGTTATTTCTATGATTTATTAAGCTAAATATTAAAAATTGAGGACTACTGCTTAAATTCATAACTTTGTTGACTTTGTGATGCGTTCTGTCAATATCTGGAACAATCAAAAAATTGAGTACTTCAAAAATTTTCTAATAATGATGAAAACTAACACCGGCAGCCATATAAAGTTGTCCAGCAAGTGTTCCATCACCACTGACTTCCGTATCAGAGGCAACTTTTGCGATAGCATCTTCAACAATGATATCTCTGGCGTATTTATCGATGAGACCTTCATATCGAGTACCGTTTTCAGTAATTTTTCCAATAATACGCCATGTTTCATCACTCAAATAAACCGCACGAGAAATGCAAGAGTAGAACAAATTTCCACCTGCAATTAGTAGTTATAAAAACGACGATTTATCAAAATCAATCAAACTTTTAGGTAGTGCCATCGACGCTATAAACACTGTTGTCACGTATACCAAAGTAGAAACATTCTGAATAATTCACATATCTATAATTCGTCGATTGCATCAATTTCAATTGAAGAAATCAAAAGAAAGAATCACTTATATGAGGATATTCTTACCAACAGGTGACTCCATTTTGTTCAAAAAATATGCATAATCCAAAGTACGTTCAACATCCGTACATTCAAATCCCTTCATATAGAGCAAAATTAAGCGACAAAAATTTAGCGAACTTTGCACTGGGTCTTCTTGCTGGCTTACCACTGAATTACATGAGACTGTTAAATTCACTTCGAATAACTCGTCACTCACCATTATACATCAAACACACAGGTATATATATAAACATTTCATGAAATCTATAGAATATTGGATTATCCTATCAATTTTAAACTAAATTTGTTTAAAATTGTACATCAGATGGTAACTTCTGAAAATCAGTAAGTGATTTTAAATGAAACCTCAAAAAACCAACGTATTGAATGTCCGATGTCGTCAACAGGAATCAATACATTGTTGAGATGTAATAAAATAGCTAGATGTACAGCATGTGTCAACATGTTATTCCTGCAATTTGTCGTATTTCTCTCACAAATGGTTTTACATTTTAATTTTTCCCTTAACTTTGTTTTTCACAGTATACATTCTTTATGTATAACCATTAATGATAGCAGAACAATACAGACTTTAATTTTGTAACATAAGCAAATAAAAGTTTGGAAAAAGTGATGCTGAATAAAAAATCTGTGGTTCACATATATTAAAAAGTATAAATCCGAAAATTACAGAAAATAAGCAATCAGTTACTGCAAATTTTAACTACTCTGAAAATCTTATTTTTCAAACCTGAAGAAATTTAATCTTAATTATTTTAGTGGAAGACACCATATTTTATTATAAGAGCGAAAAGTATAAATAACCTATGTAAAAGATTTATCGCACGTTCATACTGTCCTGTTAACCACAATGCTTGAAAATATATTAACACACTTCCATCATTGCCAACAAAGTAGCTCTCACCTAAAAATTGCCCATTAGAGTACTTGAATTGTTTGGTCACTTAATATAACATGTCTTCTATTAATAGTGAAAACATTTGCTGCACACGGCCAAAATCGCTCTCAAAATATAAGTTTAAATATATTCCAGCAATACGTTCGGTTCAAACTTTCACAGTCGAGACTGCCTATCTTTTGTTGAGCAATAGAATTTTGACACGATTTTCAAACAAAACTTTAGAATGGGGATGATACGTGCTTCATGTTTGGTCAGTCTCGATCATTCACTGACACTCTTTTACCTAAAGCTCCTGCGGCTTCTAACAATATCCACATTTCTACTATTTGCGCACTAATTTGCAACTGCATGTAAAGAAAATGCTCTATGATTACAAATTACCGTAGTCAACAGATATAAGTCGCTGAAGCTCTCTGAAAACTGCAGGTGAAAGGGCAGGATCTATACCACATGGATATAATTTTAACCATAGCCAATTTTCTAAATTATTGCAAACTTCAGGAACATCACCACCAAGCAGAGCACAATATACTGCCTTTTTGTGAATATCCACAAACGAACGGGATTCACAACGCCATTCCGCCTTCACTTTTAATCGAACATCAGTAGAAAGCCTAAATTCAGATATTAAATTAAACATTCTCATTCAAAATTTACAACACAAGTTCAACCATTCGCAAAATAATAATGATACTGATTTATGATGAGCAGCGAAACGAAACATGATAATGAATTTTTTTAACCAGAACAGCATCTGAGCTATGTGAAATCGAACAACCCACTAAGATCCAGGAAGAGACGAATAGCTCAACAGGTAACTTACTTCTTACTTTTTTCAAGTTCAAGCAGAGCAATTGTCGCAGCTGCACACGATGGTAAATTTTTCAAATGTGAATCAGCTATTTTTGCAGCAGACTGCAATTCTCCAGCTCTTAAACAATGATAAACAACTTCCCAAAGAGCATGTCCATTTGGTCCATACACGCCATCCTAAAAATTAATAATTTAATGTTCGACGAAACAAAAGGTTGCAAGTTTTCAAATTTGGTACCTTAAAAATTTTACAAAATACTGGATAAAGAAACAGATACGGATTACCTGAGTGTGTCGCTGAGTTGGCTTTAAGTGTTTCACATTTAGAAAAGCATCGATAAGCGATAGCATCGTTGGATTACCACCTCTGCGAGCAACTGCTAAATTATTTTCCACAACTGTCTCCATGTACGAAATAAAACTGTAAAAAGTTTCATATTGTATGAGTGGATAATACTTTCTGATATACGAGACATAAATTGTCATGATTTTAGAAATGTATGTAAATATCGTCTTGAATTTATAGAAACTGAATACTGCCTGCACTGCCACGAAAGAATTTTCTCTGAACAGCTTTGCATTTGGGAGGTAATTACTACAATCCTAATTTTTGGAAATGCTTTTGCCTAATCCAAGTAACCATGACCCATAAGGTAATAGTATGATTTAAAGAAGAAGTAGACATAAGGATTAAAAGTTGCTTACTTTTTGTGAAGAAATTCCAAAGTTGTATCAATAATGTGCCTCATCCAAGAGATCGAAGAGCGGAAATTTCTGGCAGTGCCGGAAACAACAAATGGGTGACTTAGTGGGGCAAGAGCTTGTCCCCATAATGCAATTATTCCATCATCGCGCGATTTCGATGCAGCTTCTCTAAAAGCCATGGCTAAGTTGTCCACTTTTTTTTCTGCTATGTAATCAGAAATCTGAAAATTAAACAATATTAGAAGAAATGTAATAGAATCTGAATTATCCATTTAGAAACCTTTTCCGGAAACGAAGAAATTGTTTCGATCAATCAAACTTCCTCCTTCTTCTTCATTAAAATAATTAGTGTTAAATTTAGAAACTTACACCCTTGGCGAACGTCAATTCTATACTATCACCAGGTTTAATGGAAGTCGTGGAATCCAAGTATGTTGTCTGAAAAGTTGTTACTTTCTGCAATATGTGAACACGTTCGAAAAATCACACTCTGAGATGAATATAGAGTATAATGTATAAAATGACTTTTAATAACAAATTATGATCAAAATATTTCCATTACTTATCTAAAACCAGTCAGCTTGCAGGATTAATCTGATAAGAATAAATCGATTTAGTGACCAAAATATTAATAATCACAATATTCATGTAATAAAGCGATGTGAATTACGAAAACAAACAAAAAACAGAAGCTGCAGGAGCGTAAACAGCATTCTGCTAATAAACATTAAGCAGCTGGTATAAATAATTAAATTGTTACTGAACACAGCGACGGTTTTTTACCCTCGCAATAACTAATGCTATTTTCAATAATTAAAGAGTTAAATCAATAACTGGAAGAGACTAACTTTGGAAAGTGGGACTGCAGAAGGAGTAGCTTTCGCTACATATTTAGCCGCCGTGTACGCCTGATCCACTACACGTTGATTCATGAAGGCTCTTTCAGCTTCCAAACGAGTACGAATAGAAGTTTCAGCGACAATTTCGTTCAGCATATGCTGGCAATCCGCCGAAGGTAACACAAGTTCATCTACTTCATTTTCTGCTGCTCCTTCTTGCATTTGTGGTATCGAGCTGAGTGAAAAGCCTTTTCCACCCAATAACAAACCCATCTTAAAAACCATTAAATAAAAATAAAACAAAAGTCTGCGAAATCAGGAATAATAAAAACCATGAACGATCAAAACATACTTCCACATCGGATAACCGTTCCTCTGCAGGTGCCTTTCTTTTCCATAAATCTTCACTGCGTCGAAAGACATCATTTAATGCAAGATCGACACGAGTTTTGTACTGAAGTGGAGTAATAGTTTACTCATACTTGAGTACTTATTTCTTAATCACATGTTTGCTTTTAAGTTTCTTAATAATTCTCGTAATAAGTTTAACTGGACAAGTATCCTTCTCATCGCTCCTCTAAAGGTCAGCAAAAACTTCTTTGTAGTATACTACAAAAACGATTAATTTAATATTACTGTTCCTAATTTTCGTTTCAATTAAATGAAATATTTTAACTGTAAATATTACTAATTTGGATGTAAAATTAATTCATTATTTTCTTCTATGTATTAGGAAGGGTTTGGAGAAAATGAAATACACAATTACCGAAGATCCCGATGATGTTTTCGAAATGACTTTCGATGGTATCGACAACCGGTCTGACTTATTCAACAAATCTTCCAGTGCTCCTGGCATTCTGAAATTCAACTTCGAAAATACGGAAAAAGATTCTCAATTACATTTTTTTTTTCACATCATCGATATCTACAAATTTTAGAACTACGTGGACAACATTTTAAGTCTGAATGAGAATTTTAAAATACAAATCAGAGATAATGCATAAGAGATAGAGTTTTAGGCAATGGTGCTTAGTTAATAGTATAACATATTATTTCAGTGAATTGTCACTGTTACCTTAACATATGTTGTCTTTATAACACAAAGTTGTATTTCACAAAGTCATTTTCGTTCATCTTATTGAAAAATGCTTTCGCATATAGTAGATGATGAGAAAATTAAGGATAAAAATGAATCGTAAAGTATATGTTTTCACATATTATCTAACAACGACGCTCTTTGGAAGAGCTGAAATTACAGTTTTAAGTTTAAGTACAACACAATTACTTTTTCTTTAATTTCTGGAGTATCACTAATTATGTCTAGGCAACTAAATTACACAATTCATGCTCCAACTATGCTTGAAATAGAACACATTAGGAACTACTATTTCTTAGGTTAATGTACTACTACATGGCCAAAATTGAGATACACTTTTTTTCTCCGATAAAAATGAGACAGATCTAAGAGAGATCCTTGTAAGGGTTGAAATTTTCAACAATACTTCAAATCTTGTTTCAAAAACCTTAGTGTATCCTAAACTTCCGGAAAATATTGTACTACTTTTATGTTCCCAATTAAATGTAATAAATGGAATTTTTTGCTTTGCAATTCATTTATTCAAAAAAAAATCTGACATCATTTCAACAAGAGAACTATTGCATACATTCTCAGTTTCTGAATCTCAACCTATGTACAATCCCTTCTAATCCTCACCAATCTCCATCATCTCTTTAACCATTTTTATTACTATACTCCTCTGACCTCAGTAACACCAATCCACTGTTGAAAAAAAACCTCAGAGAACCCTCGCACCTCCGCAAAACTTTCGTATTAAATGAAAACCAGTTATGATAGCATATGCACTAGATCATTATGAAATTTGGATTTCTCACACTTCTAAATGACAATGTTGATTTCTTAGGTGTACGTTACCATAATTGTGCATAAGTTAAGTTGACTTATGCTACACGTGAACCTTATCTGTCGTCAGATTTACTTATATTTATCTATGATTATATTTGCAGTATAAATGTTAGCAATGTGATATTTATTTAAATCCTATGAAGAGCTATTATTTTAATAAATTATCGTTAGCGTTGATATCAAGGTTGGTACTTATAAAATGCCAATAGGAGTGATACCGTAAGATTGCAATGATACCTTCCCTTTTAAAAGATATAGAGGAATAAATAACAATTTACCATTTTACTGCTAACCCATCTTTCACTCTCATTCATAAATATGCAAATATGCCATAAATGTTAGGTTTGGTTTTTTTTTTTTTAATTATTTGCATAAGCAATAGAGAAGAGAGAGGGAATGATTACGGTAGGTTATCGGATGATACCGATCATCACTTGTAGTAATAATAGTAATAGCTAAAGTGGTTTGTTATTGTTGTTATGATTTTGTGGTTAGCACCGCTCTGTACCATTCTTCACATTGTTAATACCTGAATTGATTGATTGATTGATTCATTCATGTGGTTGAACAACTTTTAAGCATTATACAAAAGTATGCATTATAAATTCGCCGTAAATTCGATTAGTCTTCTTTTTTCATTTTGCTATTAAATAGATTTGATTCATTCCGAATCAATCGATCGATTTAATTAAAACGATAGTATCATTCTTTAAAGTTTTTGCAAATTTTATTTCAAATTTTATTACAAATAAAAAATTGGTATAATAATATTAGAGCAAAAACGAAGAACAATGCATAATTACTTAATTAACAAAGAATTCTTTCTTTTTATAATTATTTAATTAATCAATACTGGTTGTAATAATGTTGTGATTTAGATAGTATCTGATCTTTTGTTATAATTATTAAATTAATCAATACTGGATGTAATAATATTGTGATTTAGATGGTATTCTGTTATATTAAATTAATCAATACTGGATATAATAATGTTGTGATTTAGATAGTATCTGATCTTTTGTTATAATTATTAAATTAATTAATACTGGATGGAATAGTATTGTGATTTAGATGGTATCTGATCTTCTGTTATATTAAATTAATCAATACTGGATATAATAATGTTGTGATTTAGATGGTATCTGATCTTTTGTTATAAGAATTAAATTAATTAATACTGGATATAATAATGTTGTGATTTAGATGGTATCTGATCTTTTGTTATAAGAATTAAATTAATTAATACTGGATGTAATAATGTTGTGATTTAGATGGTATCCGATCTCTTGTTATAATTATTAAATTAATCAATACTGGATGTCATAGTATTGTAATTCAGATAGTATCTGATCTTTTGTTATAATAATTAACAGCTTTAGAAGGAATTGATCTTTTGTTGTGATTTAGAAGGAAAACTAATCGATTGACTTTTCTTAATCATAACTGGAATAGAAATTCAAAAGGATTAATTGATGTATTCAAGTTTTCAATTTAAAACAAACATTTCAATATTATCAATAAACTTTCATAAATGAATAATTTCTTATAATTGATAACAAAATATTGTTATACTATTGTTTCAAACATAATTAATTTTTTGAATGAAAATTGATGAAAAAAGAAATGAATTTAAAAAAAATGTATAACTTATTAAATCTATTGTTTTTATAATATTAAATAATAAATGATAATAAATTTTAGGAAAATGAATTAATGAATTTAAAGATCATATGAAAGTTGTTTAACATGTGAAATTTTTCTTGTGAACAATTTTCACTAATTCATTTTGTATTTTATTTCTATTACAAATATATTATTTTTAATATTAAATAATGATTATATATTGTTAGCAAATAAATAATGATTATATATTATTAGCAAATAAATAATGATTATATATTGTTATAATTTTTTTCAATTCAAAATTCTACAGATATAACAATGTATTATAGTTATCGTTGTAACAATTACTATAATCATATAAAAACTTGCATATATGCTGTAATGACTTGCGTATGCTGTAATAAACTTGCCTATTGTACTAAAAATAATTATTGCTATCGAATAGATGAATATAGGTGTAAAAGTATGCTAATTATAAATACATAAATAATGGATGTGTGTGTGTGTGGTGTGTATGTTGCGCCTGTTATGGATGGAAAGGCCTACTTATAAATTTATAGATATGAATGTGTATGTATGTGGTGTGTGTTGTGTATGTTATGAATGAAATGGCCTAATTATAAATACATAGATATGAATGTGTGCGTATGTATGTGGTATGTGTGTTGTAGGTGTTATGGATGAAAAGGCCTAATTATAAATACATAGATAAGAAATGTATGTGTGTATGTTGTATGTGGTGCATGTCATGGGTGAAAAGGCCTAATTATAAATACATAGATAAGAATATGTATGTGGTATGTGTGTTGTAGGTGTTATGGATGAAAAGGTCTAATTATAAATACATAGATAAGAAATGTATGTGTGTATGTTGTATGTGGTGCATGTCATGGGTGAAAAGGCCTAATTATAAATACATAGATAAGAATATGTATGTGGTATGTGTGTTGTAGGTGTTATGGATGAAAAGGTCTAATTATAAATACATAGATAAGAAATGTATGTGTGTATGTTGTATGTGGTGCATGTCATGGGTGAAAAGGCCTAATTATAAATATATAGATAAGAATATGTATGTGTGTATGTTGTACGTGGTGCATGTCATGGGTGAAAAGGCCTAATTATAAATACATAGATAAGAATGTGCATGTGTGTGTGTGTGTGTGTGTGTGTTATGGATAAAAAGGTAAAATGAGCTTAGAGGAATTGTTGAAGAAATGTATTAAATATCCGTTTAAAACAAGTTTAGCATTTTTGTTGAATGAAAAAAAGCAAAGTTGTATAAATCGAAGCAAATGCTTTTTCGCTATTATAAATGTATCGTCTTCATTTATCCGACGATCTTCTTTTTGTGTAAAACAAAAGAAAGGTAAAAAAAATAAAGAGTTTTCTTTGTCAGTGAAAAAAAGAAAAGCAAATATCATTTTCGAGAAAATCCTAAGACGAGCACTTTTATTTTATTCTTTAAAATAATTTACTAAATCATCCATTTCGATTTAAATGTTAACAAAAAAAAAAGAGAGAGAGAAAGGGAGAAAGAGGGAGAGAGGAAAATAATTAGTTAAAGAATATGAAGAAGAATAGATATGGAATGATTTGATAAAGAATATTATATACTATAAAATATAAAAACAAAAATAGAAATAAATTAAGGATACGGAATGATTTGTTAAAAAATAATATATACTATAAAATTTAAAAATGAATTATTTATCAATTAATATATTTGAAAATTATTGTTATTAAATTTTAATATTTTAATTATTACAATTAAATTTTTAGTTTAAAAAAAATTAAATTTTTTAGTTATTCATAAGTTAATTTTAATTATTTTTTTGCATTTTAATTACTTATAAATTACTGTATTTGTATTTTAATGAATTTTGTCTTTTTCTCTCAACTGTAAATAATATCTGTTGTGCTTTCTTTAAAAAACAAACACTGTTACTAGAGAATTTATTGCCAAACTTGAAAAGTTTACTACTACTTTTCTGATTAAATTCTTCTCTGCATTTAATCCTAATAGTTAAATTTTATAGATTTTCAATTATTGACAAATTTTGATAGTAAGCAAACTTTTACTATATTTGGTTTGGTTATTTATATGTCTGTCTATTTGAGAGATATTATTGCTTAATACTAATAGTTAAATTTTGTAGATTTCAATTGCTGACAAATTTTGATAGTAGACAAACTTTGCTGTATTAGGTTTGATTATATATATATATATATATATATACATATATATCTTTATATGTCTTGAGAGATATTATTGCTTAATACTAGTAGCTAAATTTTGTAGATTTCTA